TGCTAGGCGTCCCCTTTTTGGTCGTCCGACGCCTGGCCACCCTAATTAAGGCGCCCCCGAGTGAATTCTGTGCCCCTCCACGTGGCACGTCTCCATGGCCAGGGCCGGCCATGGCCGGCTCGTACGAAGAAGGAAGAGCAACGTTGCCCTGCGGACGCATTCTCGGAGCGTTCATTTCCAACATCGTGACTCGAGGTTTACCGTGGCGGGGTTTCATCAGGGAATTGGACGGTGTTGCGAGCGAAGTCTTTCGTCTGGGATCATCTCCCCCGTCATCGGATCGTCTTTATTCCGAACGAGGAACGAGATCGTATCTCGTTTTATCATTTTTTCCCCTCGCTCATGATTTTGCATAATTCCTTCGTGGCAATTTCTGCACGAAGGTGTCGGCGTGGTCTGAGATGTACGGCGAACATCCGGCAACACTGCACGGCATGCCCGCCACGCCATGCTGTCACTCACCGTCGCATTTCTTCTTGGCTTTTATGCCTAACTCACCTCGACTGACAGGCGATCCGAGAAAGGTGTCATTACCTTCCGAAGGAAGCAATCGTGCAACGAGATCATTGGTGACATGCACCGAATCCATTTAAGCTAAACGAATCTGATCTCACAATGGTTCCCTATGGGAATCGGTTTAACCATAGACGTATTCCCATAGACGCCCATAAACGAATTAATTTAAAGTTAAACGGATCTGGTGCATGTGACCCCATGTCTGGTTTGGAGACAGCCTTCCCCCCCCCCCCTCCCCCCATCGCACGTGTGGCTACTATGTAATCTCGCTCGCACGCAAGAATGTGGATCATTTTGTCCTTGAGGCTCCGCGAAATGCGCTGTCCTGTGGTTCCAGCCCAGAAGCCAGACTCCATCTCGCATTCAGAAGCAAGACGGAAATTGAAAGGGAACCGACCAGACTGCGCAAAACAGGGAAGGACCCGGCTCCAGAGCTTCACTCCGTCCGCACTAGATGTCACTCGCGGCGGAGGAGGTTCACCCCCCGTGCCCCATCCCCCGTGCCTCATCCCCCGTGCCTCATCCCCCGTGCCCCATCCCCCGTGCCCCTGCGCTGACGGCGGTTTTACTTTCGTTCCGTGGTAGCGTCGGCTCCGTCCGTGACGAAATTGTGATAAATGGAAAGATAAAACCATGGTATTAACACTGATCCGCGCTAACGGTTTCGCAGAATCCAACTCAAATTACGGCATTCGAAAGCGTAGGAAGCATGTCGACAAATGCTTCCCACTTTCCTTAAAGTGGGGTCAAAGGGGATTTTTTGCCCCCTCCCCCTTCTCCCCTTCTCCCTCCCCCCATTCTCCCCCTTAATTTTTTCATAGCTCTATTTATGGAATCGAAGCAGTGCCCCCCTCGAGACATTCTGAGTCATTTGCCCCATTGCCCCCCTTGCCCCCTCCACTCATGAAACCACTTTCCAGAACGCTCCTCCGCCGCCGTGACTGCAAGAAACCACCGAGAGCGACCATGAATCGTGGGAAAAAGAAATCGGCCCCAAAAGAAGAGATGAGCGCAGGACGAACCAGACCGATTCGCTCCGTGACCCGAAACGCCTCAGACATCCTTTTCGGTTTCCTCGGAATCGAGCGTGCAAGGAGTTCAAACTTTTTTTTTTTTCAAATATCCGGGATGGGAGAAAAATTCTGGACAAATTAGAGTTGCTCAGGGCCGAGTCGCCTCGCGCGACCTCTTCGAGGTGGCGTCGGGCCTGGAGCGACCGGGGGAAGTCGCTGGTCCCGCGGAGGCTTCTAGACGGCGGAACTTCCGATGCGTTCATCCAGAAATTGGCACAGAGGGGAAAGTGGGGAAAAATGGCTGGAGAAATAATTAATATTAATGATAAATATAATTGCTACAACATAATATCAGGATGACATTTATACGTTAATCTTTTTTCTACGGAAATTTTGAATTTAAACATCGAGGAGTCTTATAAGAATAGAAAATACAATTTGTGGTCGTTCCATTTCAAAAATTATCCTGCGTCAACTAAAATTGCATTCAGTGCAGATTTTTTTCACCTTAGAGTAAATTTCTTAACATTACCATCCCCAGAGCATATATGACATTTAAAAAAATACTAATTTCATTTTTTTAAAGCGAATTATACTATTTAAGTACTCTTAGCGCAAATGACATACAAATATTTATTTATTTATGACCGTTCCACGTGAAAACCAAGTTTAAAAATTCTTCCGGTTTTTCTTCGTCTCGTCTCGAGCGCCATTCTTCCGCCTTTGCCAATTCTGGGTGTTCCCTCTTCCGGGTTGTGCGACCGCCCTGCTCACGCGAGCGAATCGACTCCCGGGTCCGACTCGAGAGACATTCTCCAAGGAAAAGTGATGTTTTCAAACAATGTTTTTTAATGTAATTTTTTTTTTCCCGCGATAATAACTTATTCATTTTTACGACCTCATTCATTTTACATTTTCCATTCATATTTTATCATTTTATTTCCATGTAAGATGTCCTTCATTTCTCGGATTCGATTAATTTTGCAACTTTTACCGACTTCGAACGGACTCCCCGAGATCGCCCCCTGCCGATTGGGTGGCGTTCGGGTCACGTGACCGGGTTCGTCCAATGGGATCGGACTTTCCGGGTCGGGAGGCCGAGGACCATGATCGATCGGGCTGTCGCTCGATTAGATCAACGGGTCGATTAATTGATTAAAGTTCCTATCGAACATTTTCATGTAAATCATTCGAATTTTAATTGGCTCCCAATTTTCCTCATGAATGGCTGCCTGGCCCTTCAACATTCGGGCATGGACTTACAAAAGCGCTATGGATGAATGCCTTGTGGTTGGAGCAGTGGCGGATTCACGGGGGGGCGGAGGGACGACCGCCCCCCCCCCCCCCTATAGCTAGGTTTGCATTCAATTTAAAATATTTTTTAATAGCTTCTACATTAATTTATGTTGGTGCCAGTGAAATAGATATTCAAGTTTTTATCCCCAGACGAGAAATGAAAAGCGATAGGGCAGGGAGTGGTGGAATGCGGGGTGGGGATAGGGAGGTAGGATGTAAGGAACCGCCCCCCTTATGAAAAATTTCTGTATCCATCACTGGATTGGAGTCAGACGTGAAGATTGCTTGTCGAAGGGAGTCGTCTTCGCACGGCTCCGGCAAATACATTTTCTCCTTCACAAGGTTACCACAAGAGCAATTGCAGCGTGAGGATGCAGAAAATAGTCTCTAGTTGATTCCGAGCGGTCGCTAGTGTCCCGCAGGGCTGCCGCACGTGCACGGAATCGGGTGGACCCGGATCGAAACATCTTTGCCGTTGGACACGATGTGAGGAAGAGGAAGAGGAAAAGTGCACGTCCGGTTATATGAGACGCGTGTCGAAGATCACGGAAGCGCAGGCAGGGGGGAAGAGGAGGGGGGCACGGAGGGGGGGGGGGCCTCGCATCCCCTCCGGCCCTGTTCTACAGGATCCTCTTCTTCTTCTGCCTCCTTCTGACACGAACTCGAGACGCTGGAATTCATCGAAGACTCGATTCGGACAATCTGGCAGCCTTGGCCTCACGCGCACTGGAGGTCGCGGGTCTCGGTCGGACGTTCCCTTCCCGAAGCGGGCTCTACCGCGTGATATTCCGTCCACGTCCGTCCCCGACTCGTGCGGACGAGAAAATGCGCCGGACCGAGCCGGAAAAGTCGGCTGCGATTCTGTCCGCTTCATCGTACGTGGTGCCATCGGAAATGGCTCGATCTAATTGCTTCGATCCGCGTTGGTGGGCGGCCAGACGAGGCTTCTTTTACGAGTTATTAGACAAGGAAACCGTGAGGAAGCTGCGGTCTCGTCTCCAAACGTGTCAGATTTCTCGAGTCTCGTGACCGCTCAGAAGTAACTTGAAACTTTCACAGAGGAACACAACTGAATCCCTATCGACCTGCTAAGAATTAAAAAAATAATCCAACTCGAGTCTTTCTCTTGGTCTACGCAGACCTAAAAGGGCAACGAATATCTGCGAAAGGCTTTTCGGTTTCGGTTTGAAGCAATCTGCGGGTCGAAAGAGTTCCTTACGAGATCGCAATCGCGTTTGACGTGCGTTCAGCAACCCCGCAAGAACGGCCCTCGTAATCGCCGAGTCATCGTCAAATTGGCGCAATCGAGAGATCCCCAGATGCAGATGATGGGACCCAATCACATCTGATACATGGATTCACGCAAATGATACACACCCCTTGCCCCTGCAATAATTTTCTCCATTTGATTGCAGCTGTCAGACGCCAATTGCAGCGAGATGAGACCAAATAATTGAAAACAGCGGCGTTCTAACATATTTCATCCCCATTTATTCCTTCAACCAATATTGCGCTCCTCGTCAAAGGTTTCCCCCCCATCCCTTTCTTCCATCGAACAAAAACGGTTATTTCGAAAATAGACGTTTGTGTTTGTCGCAATCCACCCTCATCGGTGGGTATTGATCGATCCAAAACGACTCAATTTCCATGATCGAAACGGACCGGACCATGCAGGTGCACCTTGGCGAAAATGAGGCCGATATGATAATTCTCACCAGACAGGGCAAGTTGCGCAATACGGAAATTATTACACATATCGCACAACTCAACCGAGCAATTGATATATCGTGTATTGACTCCATATCCGGCTCGCCTTTCACGTCTGTATTACACACACCCATGCATCACCTTTGATAAAGCAAGACAATAAGACTTCTCTCGAAGGAGTTTTAGAGTTGGCTCTGAGCCCAAGTTCTCTCCAGGTATTCATTAAATCCGACAAATTAAATATTTAAATATTTAATTGAAATTAATGCAAGATACGAATCGGCGACGTTTCACCCCTCTGGCACGATGAATAGATCTCCAACAGAGAATGAAGTAGCCCTGTGTCGGTGAAAATTGAATCCGTTCATAATTAACTTTTTGCGCTCGGCACCACCAATCCAATGACCAATCGATTTCAATCATTTTCTAAGAATTTCCCGGAACAAATACCGAAAGAATGATCCCAGGTTTCATGACATCTCGATAATTTTATTCTCCAGGAAAAAAAGAAAGAAAAGTCAGTACGAGATTTTGTCACGACAGAAGAGAAGATAATCATTCACTCATTTAATCTGATAGACGCGTGATGGAGACGAGAGGGACTAGAACGAAGGGCGTCGCATCGCCGCCTGGCTTTTTCCCGCGAAATACTGTGTGCATATGGCCAAACGGGCGTGTCGGTTGGGAAAATTACCCTCGAATCTCTGAGCTCCCCCGCGTTCGAGTCTGTAGAGGATGAGACGGGACGAGGAGGCGATTCACGCTTCAAAATAATATGAAGAAAAGTATCACAATGCAGCTCGGTCACCCGGCGATGTTTTCCTCCTCTCCATTCATCGATCCTACCCTGGAAAAAAAAAAGAGAGAAAATTTTCAGAAAGGTAATAATAGCCGATTGAAAAGAATCAGCTGGGGTAACCTGGGGGGGAACAGGCCCCGGGGTGACACTTAAGCAGCAGGGGACAATGACAGCGACTGGATAGCTGTCCCTTCCAGACCTTCAATCTCCCCGCATTAGATGGGGAAGAGAAATCGCGTCCACCTCTGCCCGTCTATTAGAGTGAAAGCCGCGAACGATGGATTCTCGTCATTCTCCAACGCTGGAGTCTATTACCCAGAATCGGGTTTCAAGTTTATGCATTCATCTTCGGGATGTAGGGTGGCGAGGTGAGAAAAAAATTTGGAATCGACGGTCACGACACGACGAATGACCACTGCTGTGACCTTCGAAACGGAATGCCCGGTCCCGAGCTCTCCAAACCCAAAGCAATTTTTACGGTCCCGAGCTCTCCCCCTAGGAGGGAGATGGGTACAAAGGGTGCTAATAAATCGAATCGTGTCTCGCGAAAGGGTGCAGGACTCAGCTCAACTGATCCAGCAGGGGCGGATACAGAGATTTTTCATGGAGGGGGGGGGGCGGTTCCCAAGTTCCTACCAATCCCCCCCGCCTGCCACCATTCCTTGTCCTTTCGCCTTTTTTAGTTTTCTTCAGAGGTAAGAACTTGGAGTATCTATTTACTGGCTCCAATAAAATTTAAAGCAGATGGTATTTTGAATAAATCAAATGCTAACCTGGCCATAGGGGGGTGGTCGCCCCCCCCCCCCGTATCCGCCACTGTGATCGAGTAATATGTTGAGGAAATAAGAAATTACTTTTGCCGTTCTATAGCAAATTTATGATTGTCTCATGCAACCGGAGATTTTATAATTGCAATGAGCACGCACACTTGCATTTTAACATCATCATGATATTTGCAATTATATGACTGGAAGCTCAGACTTCGAGCGTAAACGTGGCAGTCACCATGATTTGAACATACATGAAGAAAATATATATGACTCAATTTACATCAGATTCAATTCTCATTCAGATTTAGTTAGAGTGGCGAGTCAGCAAAGAAAATTATCATGATTTTTCAAGGGAACGGTAATTTGGCAATGATGCTATGAAATCGCAAATAACATGTAAAACATGCAGGAGATATAACACCGAAGCACACATCCATGATTGACTAATCTTATAAAATCGAATAACTTAATTTGTGGTTTTTAAACCATCGAAAGACAATTTTACATGGACTTTCATTTATATGTCGGTCCTTAATTTTCGATTTGCTAGTAAATCATCCTACCATATTGTCTCTAACTCTAGCTTCGAGGCTTCAGGCATCCATGCTTGAATGAAGGCACCACGGAAGAGAGGATTTTACCAAGCTATTCTGAGACCATACCAATAGTTTTTATCTATTCATCTTTACTCTGGGTCAAATCTCAAGAATTTTTTTCCATATTTCAACCCGACATAATCATTTGCATCTGGCATGTAATTTATCGACTCGCACCTGATGGGGCCTGGGAAGAGTGAAGGTCAAGATGAGGGCGAGGGTCACTGACGATGAGGGTCCCCTCCGACGGAGATGAGGGGCGTCCGCTGGTGATGGTGATGGAGATGATGATGATGATGCAGGGCGAGATGATGGAACTGCGACGCGGGCGACTGGACGGTGATCGGGACGGCCATGTCGTAGCCCCCCTTGCTCTTCATCTGGGTCTGCAGGGCCTCCAGCTGGCCGGTCCCGATGTCGCTCGAGCCGATGTGGCCGGTGTGGCGGAAGTCGGTCGGCTCCCCGATCATCGACCGGTCGATCCGTCTCCGGCGCTTCTGTGGGAAAGAGAAAGTGATGAGTGACAAAAAAAATGAAAATGGAGAAATGATTTTTTTACATAATCAAGGATTTTCACATAGTTTCTTCTGCATCGACCTGGGAAAGAATGTTTCATTCGAGAAAGTAAAGAAAATTGTATCTTTGGAGATTCCAAGGTAAAATCTTCCCTGGAAAAATTTTATTTTTGGAGGGGGCAGAGGGGAGGGAACTTTCTACACCTGGAAACGTGATTCTGAACATCTGACTTCCTTCCCTGGCAGGAAAAGCGCATTCCCCCATACGCGGTTCGTTTGCCGAAAGCAAACATAGCTGAACTAAAGAAGAGAAACTTACTCTCTCCTTCACTGCCTTTAAGTGAATCAAGTCTTCCCCATCCACGACTTAAATACTATTAAAATCTGCACTGCAAGAACGCTCTTAGCAAATGAAAAACAAATCTGATAAAATATTGATACATTAACCCGCGAAAAAGTTACCCGAGGACTACTTGAATCCAAGCGCTCTTTCCATAAGGACTTCGTAGTAGCAATCGATTTGACCGCGTCGACGTCCGAAATGCGAAATTCCCATGGAAACAGGGGGCGTCGACTCATCAACAGCGCCATACGGAATACGAGAATTCCCACGTACGAGCGGTTCTGGTCGATATAGCCCCAGCTGAGAACATCTTAAAAGGGGCACTCACCGGGAAGCAAAACTTGATTATTTAAAGATATTAATTTCGCGATGGTGTGCTCATGTATAACTGCACACGTCAACTTTAATTCCGTCTTTGTCTCACGCCGCTGCCTTCCTGAGTAATGAGACCCGCTAGACAATACTTTCCCCGTTTTTCTGTGAGAAGAAACAAGTTGAGCAAAGCCCAGAGCAGTAGCAGCTTTCTTAAACTGATCCGTCACGGACGATGCAGGTGGAATGACGTGAGACGTGAAGGGCACAGAGGGGGGGAAGGTGGAGAGTAGGAAAGTATGCCTGGAGACAGGGTGCCTCGGGGACGGTTTGCGGTTGGGGAGGGAAGTCGGCGATCCACTCCGCTCTTTGTCGATCTATGAATTTGTCCAAGTTTCACATAGACGTAAAACGATATCAGTATATCTTCCTCTGGGTGGGATATTATGCAAGCCAAAGAGATGTCAAGCCTAGCATGTTGCGGATTGCGGTAAAAAAAAAAAATATTTTGCGGTTGATGCAGTAATATTCTTGACGAAGTTGACGAAAGCGGTGCGTTGATAAGTACATACATCCGGACAACTGCTTAAAAACTCTCATCGCTTTCTCAAAGAATTAAGGCATGCTGAAACATAACTGACACAGGTAGCAACGCAATGTCAGACCTCCACAGGGTGGGCATTCCTTTTACTACATGCTACATTCTAGGGAACTCCTCTCTGAAATGAGCACGAAAGCTCGACTGGCATCAGACCTATAGAAATGACTTTATGCAATGCCCTTTCACATATTTCCATGAGATACTGGCGCCCCCCTTCTCGGATTAGGAATTATACATTGTTTCCAGAAAACCAGTTTTCACTATCTGCAGGAAATATATTTCTGACCAAGTTTATGGTATTAATTATTCATGGATGGATAATGATTATCATTTCGGTTAAATATTCAAGACGAATTGTATTTAAAAGATTGCTTAACTTACAAATAAGACCCTTACACAAGTCTTGAGAGCTATAAATCAAGTTTTACAGGATTGAATAAACTGTTCCATAAAATTCAACAGGATTGCAGATATTTTCTCCTGGGTAATTCATATTGCGAAAAGATGATAAAATACCGTGGAAGGCGGCTGTTGAGTGATGCAGCAGCTGAAGAGTTGGATCCAAATGTCCCCGGCGGGATCAACCTCTCGACTTCGAGCCATTCCGCACTGTCGCTCCGTCACTCGATCCCTTCGATACTTTTTCTCGCTGTCTCTCTCTCTGTCACAGTCCAACACGAGTATTGCCGAGCCGCACTCGGGGAGAGTGGAGCCTTTCTTTCTCTTTCGCCCTTTCACCGCACTGGCATCCTGCTCACTTTGGATGCACGAACTGTCATCGTTTGCAGGAATAAAATAAATCGTTTCGATAGTCAGCTGTTTCACCTGGTGGAGCAGAACAGTCACATTCATTAGACCTATATGTCAGTAGGTCGCTATTAAGTATGGCTATTAGGACGATGACCTAAAATCAACACCAAAGAGGGCTTTCATATCTAAGCCTAAAATTCTGTCCCCTTTCGGCATGGTGAGAGCAGCCGAAGGACGACAGCTTGAGACGGGTGTACAAAATGAGGAACAAGGGCTCGATGTAAATTTTAAAAGAAAATCTTGACTGGAATGTAAAGCAGAAGATGGGAAAATATACGGTATCCATGACAGAATGCTAGATTAAATGTAAAAAAAAAACTATAAAGGAAAACTAAACATCGAGAAATACATTTTCAAAAGGTAACGAGAAAGAGTGACTAGCATGGAAAATTGAATGGAGTGTCAAGTGGAAATGGAACGAAAAACAGGCATTTAAAAAAATGGGAAGAACGGGATCCCGAAAACGCGGTCATCTATCTTTACGGCGTTGGATTTCGTTTAAGGACACCCGTGAAGAACGGACCCCCAAAATAGGACATTTTTCACGACCATTCTCTGTGTCCAAGACTTGTGACTATAGGGCACGTGGAGATTCTTTTTTTTAAGGGCGCGAATGAGAGCCCCATAACCCCATTTTTTGGACGCTCTCCACCAGACAAGGGAAGACTACCCCACTTTCAAGCGGAGAAGGGAGGCGGGTCAGGGGCTGTTGGGAGGAAAGAAAGAACTGGCTCTTGGAACAGGAAAGAAAGGAAGAATTTACTTTTCCTTCTCGCGACCTTACACGACAGATATCGTCACGTACACGCCCTGAGAATGGGAAAACGTGACCACATTCACGCACAACGAGGGGTCGAGATGGGAGTATTTCTCACTTCCTGTACTTGAATTTGAGAAAGCATGCATGGACGGTAGCGGTTCAAAAACAAAAATTATACCGGGACCATTAGGGGATGAAAAATGCAAATATGGATATGACATGTAGAAAGAACAAGGAACGAGCAAGATGTAACAATTTGATAAGCCGAAAAATTATGGATATCAGTAGTAACGGGGAAAAAACCACAACAACAGAAGATAAAAGAAATTAATGCGTATCTAACCACATTAGATAAAAGAAAACGATTTTCTGACAATTGAAAGTGAAATGCTGGGCTTGCAACAAAATGAAAAAAAGTAGTGTCCATTCCTAAAGGTTACGGTGATTCAGTATTTTGCGCATATTCCTCCCAAGGTTGCACGGGATGGCATGGATGCCGAGCAACAAACAAGGTGAACGAACCAGCGGGGGCATCACACACGGACCGGTTCCCCATCCTACCTCCTTACTGAGCACCCTGTCCCGATCGATAAATTCCCATCCAGGACCAGCGGGGAATACAGAATGGCATTCCTCGAAATCGACGATCCTCGCATTCCTCTCGACAGTACGCGAGAAGCTGCACAGATGGAGGTCAAGAGATGGGAAGATAAGTGGTTCGAGATGAGAGGGCATGAAAGTCATGAACCCGCGGCGAAGGGAACAGACCCCTTCCTTGTTTCTCCGATAAGACCGAAAGGAAGGAAGTTCATTATGGGAATCCCTCAATTCGTCTTCTCTTCCCTGTCTCGGGTGCCTTTCCGAGAAGGCCTGCTGAATCTGGGACGGGGCCAAACTCATTCCTCGGGCTCTTGAAAGCGCACCTTTCCGATCCCATTCTTCTTCTGCAGAATACACTATGCAGAGAAAGAATGCGTTCGAGTCTTAAAAAATGTGCTACTTCTTACTTTCTGCGGGAAGTCACAGACCCAGTTCGTCTCGTATCAGCGCCTGACAATGCAGGGCAAACAGGGAGCTTTCCTTGGTACAAATACTAAGCCCACTCCCCAAATTGACTTTTTCTTCTTCCGTTAGGAGAGTCTCGGTACCGTTTCCTAGTGTGGGAAATATGGAAACTATGAACCATCGGTCCCGTTATGTAGGAATGAAATAGTGAGATGCGGAAAGGAGCGGGGAGGTTTTCCACCTGACGGGAGTCTGAAGGATGACCACGGCCAGAGGGGAATGCCAGACTCGTTAACCCATCATTTCACATCGATTACACCCGTGCCGAGTCCGGACAAAGGTTTGGCCTCGTTTCGCCGAACTGGCTGGGCGAGCCTGATCCTGCAGCGGGTCAAGGGGAGTGTGTGGACACGCCGAGAATGCCTGATCCAGCCTCGCCACAATTAAAACTTTTTTTTTTTCGTACCGTCCAAACGAGTGATAACAGGCCGATGAGGACATGACCACAGTGGCCTCCATTTTTTTCAGGAAGGCTCCGAAAAAACTTACCAGACCATGGGAAAAGACCAAGAAAACAAGAGAAAATAATTACTATTAAGAATGTTTGTCTTGTTTGTCTCACGAATATTTTCGTTAGATGTTTCCTCATAGAATATTTTGAACATTATATGGATTTAAAAAAAAATTTTTTTTCACAAGTAATCATAAGAGCCTATAACAGGTGTCATACTCAAATTACTTTTCTTTTAGTGATTTCCAAATGACGCATTCCCGTGTTTCCTTATTCTCTCTCCCTTTCTTTTCAAGGATCTCGGAAATGGATTGGAACAATGACGGCCTTTCAAAAACTGCTCCTCCCCCATTGGCCGCTATCGCACAGTAGCCACCATCGAGCGAGCACACAAATAAATCCAAGCATCGGGAGAGGAAAAAAAAAAAGAGAACGAAAGAACATATGGCTCGAACGTCACTGGATGAGAAAGAGAGGGGGAAAAAAATCCCCAGACCGAGAACAAAGACAGAAAAACCGAAGTTCAGACCGGGGTAATCCCACTTCCTTCCTGTTCCATTACGGCACGGATGCTTTCTTCCTCTTCTTCCGAGCGGAAGACAAAGACAGAAAAGGAAAACACGCCCATCGCAGTAACGAGCTTCCTTCCAATCGTCTACCGTCACACATACTCAAAACAATGACGTGGATATCAAGTGTGAAAGCGTGCGACGATGCTTGCATAAGACGGGGGACGGCTGTTTGCTGGACCGCTACGACCCCACTCAACGGGCTTCTCGATTTCCTATTTACTGTCAAAAGTGGAGAATCGAACGAGTTCGAAACCGTCAAATGTCACGTTTACGTCTGTGGGTTATGGCGAAAGTAGGCGCAGCCTGAAGCGGTCGTACTTCCGTCAGCGTTTGCGACAAATTAGTGGTGGGACAGACGGCCAGACGAATGCGTAAGTAGTCTCATTCTTCCTTTCAAAGGCTCGCTAAAAAAAAAAAAAAAAAAACGACTTGGGATTGCCTTGGGATATAGTGATTACCGCGGACGTGGAACTAGGGCCCAGGGCCCTCCCATGGCCAACTTTCACGAATCCTCCCTATAATATTCCGTGGCACGAATTTTTCATCATTATTATTATATCATACCAGGTGACATTTCAATCATGATTCTAAATTCGATCTCAACTCGATCCATTCTAGCCTTAACATTAACTAATTTTTAGCCATTATTTTGCCTGCCATCACACACGATGCGAACGAGCACTATCACCTCTAGCAGACGTAAATATTCCCTGCACGTCACAAGAACAAGAAAATAAGACTAACGTATACGCCAGGAGAATAGGAGGGAACGAGACTAATGTATACATTAGGGGAAGTAATGCGAAAGGGATCCAATGGACTCCTTTCGCATACAGCGAGCGACAGAACTAATCCGGCGGCTCATCCTCCACTTGCGTCACCTCGAAGTCTCGTGACTTCCAGTGTGGCAGCGAGACCACGAATCCTCCACGCACATAACGCAAGCCGGATGAGACACGAGCTGGATGAAGGCGTCCACGTCCACACGAGCACAGGCTGGATATAGGCGTGCGTGCATACAGGGGCGTCGCACCGAGTTGGCTCGCATGCCCTCCAGGCATGACGTCACGCTTCCTAATGACCCCGGCCACCAACCCAGAAAGCCAATCGGGTGAATTTTTTTTTTTTCCTCCGGCTTTTTTTTTTCACTCTCATCCATCACAATCCTCGGACGATCGCCCCCGGAAGACGTAAATAAATGAATGTCAATCGAAGGGGAAATCCTGACATCCGACGTCCACTGCGACTTATCACGCCATACTCCTCGCATCGACGGAGACCTATCACGCAATACCCATTCGAGGGGGACGGATTTATGACGCATTTTGTTCGCTTTCAATGTGGGTGATGGCAATTCGGCGCCGTCGGGTGTCAATGGCCCGACCGTGAACGGGGCCCACCCCGTAATGGCTTTTTTCCTTGCATCCTGGAAAATCCCGGGGTGTTCCCCCTTTACGAATGCCGGCCATGAATATGAATGGACGGTAGGAAAACGAAGGCCGCATGGGTGCTCCTCCTTCCCCCTGGGCTCTTTCCATCCCATAGTGTGGTGCATAATATATAAGACGATTCCATGGGATGAACTCCCACGCGGGGGCTCTTTCGCTTCACTTTCCATTTTCTCTCTCTCTCTGTCTTAGATTCAATCCGTTACTGGCAACGGTGAAATGGACGAGATGACCAGCCTTTCTCTCCTTTCTCCGGGGTAAAGGACGTGAAAGCAAACATGAAACATGGAAAATGCATCGAGTCGAAAAAACAAACCGTGATAGGAGTGAAACTCGATATTCATGTACCTCGGAATCCATGTTATACAGTCCTTGGGAAAATCCTGCTCACCCGTTGCAAGCCCACAGAGTCCCATTGAGATATATGATAAAAAAATATATAAACTTAAGTTTGGTGAACAATGGCGATTTTCCTTCCCCGCAAACTGCATTGGGAAAATCTATTGTTTGCTAATTTATATTCATCTTCTTAATTATTCCTAATACTGATCCATTCTTCTTTCCTTAACGAGTTTACACTTAGGGTGACATGCACCAGATTCGTTTAAGTTTAAACGGATTCGTTTTCATAATGGGCGTTTATGGGAATAAGATTATCTCTGTTAAACTGATTGCCATGGGGGACCATCGTGAGATCAGATTAGTTTAAACGGATCCGGTGTATGTCACCCTTGGAATTCAAGAGTGTTTAACCAAAAAAAGCAACTAGTGTTCTTTCCTCTTCCCTTCCTCGTAAATTCGCTACTTATCACGTAACGCGGGGGGAATCGAAAGCTCCACAACTAAAAGTCGACATGCACCTTAGTTTAGCGCGTTCACACCAAAAGCACTAGTGAATTGTGTGGAATCCAAGAGGGCAGAGAAAGAAGACAGAAAAAGTTTAACACTTCTTTGCCACTTCACCCGCGCGACAGCGTCGTCACCCAAGATTCGGCAGAAATCACGCTAACAGGCCGCCACAAGCAGCAGCGTGAGTCATCAAAACCTGATGCAAAGGAAGGAAAACTCCCTCTGAGCTGTATCGAGTGGAAACTGGACACGCCTACAATGTTTCAAATGATGAAGCGAAATTCATATCCATACGTGTGATGCGCGGTGAGCTGGATGAGCCGACGAGGGCGCGGATTATTCCAAAGCACGCACGCGAAATCACGACTCGGTTGGAGCCTGTCTCTCCTCGCTCGCTCCGCGGCTGTGAGCGACTGGACTTGTGGTCGTGACTGGCGGGAGATGGCAGCACCGAGGAGCCGAGGGGATGCTTCGTGCATCCGGGGCTCATGACACTCTGAGAAGGGATGCGTAACCTCCTTCCCTATACATAACCTCCTTACGCGAGGGTGAGCACGATGAGGCTCGACGAGGACGAAAGAGGGCATTTCAGAGCGGCCTCCTCTAAATCTCCGCTTTAAAATTCATGCTCACGAGGAGGAATGTATTTATAGGTTGCATTATGAAGTTGCAGGTTATTGCACCAGGGCGATGATGAATTTTGTTGGCGTATGAATTTGCATCCTTTTTGCGACCGACAAAGGAGTCGAGGGATGCAAAACTTGGCGCGTCATTTGTTATTCCGCTCGAATAAATTGCGGAAATCGATTTTTAATCCGAAGATCTATTTTTAATCTAATCAAAAGGGAGACTAAAATGGAGAGACTGGCAACAAATGCATGGGGGATTTGTTTGCTTGGGTTCCCTGCACGCCGGATGGATCATTTCCTGGGAATCCCTATCTCCACTTTCGCCAAAGCTTCTCGCAACTGGGTCGCCTTTTTCCAGATGTGAATCTGACCGACACAGCGGGGAGGGGAGCATCGGGGACGAGATAGGTCTCTGACCCCAATAATCGCCACTTTACACGAAAGAGAGAGACCCCAGTCGAGTGGAGTCACACGCTGATTGGCACACACATTGCGGGGGGGGGGGGGGGGGGGTGGGGGGGAGAATGGCACAAGTGGTGCGGAAACGCGTTACTAGGGCAATGCAGCCAAAAAATCCTTTCCTCTCTTTCACCGATGATAATAATATATCCCATTTCGTATTTAATGAATGGGATTTTGAGAAAGCCCTTTCAAAACCACTGCTGATTGCATTTCCCTCCCTTTTCTCTATTTTTTTTTCAGATGAAACTAATCTTCACGATCTTTTTGGACTTGGAGAGGCGTTCCTCTTTATTCCCATCCAAATATTTTAACTTTCTAACTATTATTTTACAGTCAAGTTTAATGTTTTCAAAACGTTTACATAATAAGGATTAAACCTCCTACAACGACGTTTCATGTAAAAACTTGTGGATTAAATCTCCTAGTGCCACAGGAACCATACAGGGTGAGTCAAAAGTCCTGCCCACCCTCTGAACGTGAATAATTTGTCATCGAGATGCTTTTTAACCATTCGGAAGACTAGCCAATTCTGTATAGAATGAAGGATTTTCGCATTTTTCTGATGGTATCATTCGGAAATTACATTCCTATTCGGGGACTTATAAAAAAAGGCAATGGCACGTGAAAAAACCCTTGCGGCAAAGCATCCAATTCTCCGTTCGAGCATGAGAGCAATTCCAATTCATGGAGGATCGAGGAAAATGGCTGATAAATGACTGACCAACGATAAGCGAGTTGCAAAAGTTCGGTTTTACTCCGAATGCGACGGAAACCGCTCGACAATTCGATCGAAGAAACCGTCAGTCGCAAGTTGTTTGCCCGTATTAACTCAAATTTTGACAGAACGGGAAACGTAGCAGAAATATAATATAAAGCTTCTCCGATCTGGACACCCTCTGACGGTCGAACAGAAAATTAGACGCAGTGCTGCACGCGTGCTTTGGGTGCCAATGCTTATATATATATGCTTATATATGACCCAAGAACGGGAATTTAATTTCCATTGGAAAAATAATGCAAAAATCCTTCCTCATTTATAGCATTGTCTTGCCTTTCGAATGGTGAAAACCGCATCTCCATGAGAATTTATTAACTTTCAAAAGGTGGGCAGGACTTTTGACTCACCTGGTATATACTCGAACAAGCCTATGGATCGACCGCGTGGCACTAAAAGGGGTTTAAAATGGCATGAATGTTCCAGGAACTTTGCGAAATTCAGGGAAAAGATTGGCAATTTAATCGGCAGTTGGTAATTTACTTTGCAGCAGAATAAAAGCACACACATGCACACATACTGCAAGTGCAGTAATTAGCTATCTCTTCGGCACGAAAAAAATCTAAAATGGGCATAAATCTGAGAGCGTGCCCACAGACCATATTTCGATCTCGCGTGGGATTTCCCCTCTAATCTAGAGGTCGTGTGACAAGGATAGAACAACAGGAAGGAAGGAATAAAAAAATGACCTTTATCCCACCGCGCGTCACGACGAAGAAGGGCAACGGCGAAGGTCGCGGTGTGGTTTCCCCTTGCCCTTTCGAAACCCTCAAAGGACCATCGAAGGCAGCCCTTCGAACATTGCGACCATGCCTCAATACCGTCGCTAATGGTCCTTTCAGGAAATGGCAAGGAGGATTCCATCCAGAGAGAAGATAGCGAAGAGGAGGAGGAAGAGGAGGAGGAAGAGGAGGAGGAAGAGGAGGAAGAGGAGGAAGAGGAGGCAGATTCCAGTCCAGTCTCTAATCTCTTTCCTCGCGGATCTCTCATCATTCCTGCGAGCATTTCACGCTTCGGTGCACGACAGGAGTCGGCGACGTCGGCGACGGGGGATTCTGAGACACCAAAAACTTTTGCAGGAAGACTTTCAAAATTCAGATTCTAAAATACTTGCTCCGACAGCAGGTAGGTAGAAAAATAAAATATAATTATTATTAATGATTCCGTGACATATCCGACTTTCAAACGCCGAGAGAAAGTATATGCAGATAATTGATGGTTTTGCTCGCGATTCCTACGCGGCGAAGTCCGGTCATCGACAATTATTTCATCCCGCTAAGCGAAAGTTACCGAAATTTTATGACTCGAGAGAGAAAAAAAGGCTCGAAAAAAGGCGGACAAATGGTTTCGACGGTAGAAGACGGAAATTATATGTCTTCTCGATAAGAAAATAAGCGCCTTGTCTGAGATCCGGAAGAGGGAGATCCCATGCAAAGTGTTCTCGGAAATTTCCCATGGGATTTCAGGAGAAGATAAGGAAAAAAAAAGAAGAAAGGAAGGACCGGACAATGACATCATTGGAAGGCTCAGGTTATCTTCTATGGAGCACTCGGAAGGTGATGACTCGACACGTTCCATTAAGTGACTCATTGACATTGAAGTGAGCGCCGAAAGTGTCTGAATCATGCCAAAAAAAGGGCAACTTCTCCAGGAGTCACTGACACCCGTGGCGAAAATGAAAGACGGAGGAGCCGAGACCGGGTGGTTAGATAACGTTACCGCGGTCACAATCCAGTTAGTCGCGTACGGGGAGGGCTTGCGTGGCAGGGATGCCCGATTGCGACATTTTTTATTTCTCATACGAGGAGGGAATTGAGATTCCTCGTTCGTCTGGGCCTTGACCCCATTCGGCCCTTGCTTTTTAAAGGACATTATCGGCCCCATCCCCGTAGGCACCAATTCGTCTCCATCGACCCCTCGACAGCACTTTCTAAAAAGTACCCCTGTGAATCCTGCCTGTCAGCTGTTCTAATGGACACCTTTTATAGCTGCCTCCTCGGTAGTAATTTAACTGGAAAACGAGAGCGTGCCCCTGCATGCAACAGGCGCAACAGGCGTCAATGCGAAAACTGTTCCTCCGGGAGACTCGCGAGGATTCTCCTTTTCTCATTTTCGCTGTCGGGAAGAAATTCCACCTAAACAATGACGCAACCTGGGAATGACTCATCCCATGCTCTTTGCCATAAAACTCACGTTTCTGAATATTGTACCGCCTAACGTCGACTCAAATCATAAAACTGGCCTTGATGAGCTATACAAAATATTCTCGTAAATTCAACAAGCTGTTCATAAATAATTCACAACTTCGACCTATCTCGCCCGAACAATTCGGTCGTAACTGCTTCTCTTGCCTGTGGCTTATCATTCCTATTGTCCTCCTGGATTTATTGTTGCCGGAAGTGACTCTGAGGGCAACAGGAGAGGACCGAACAGTCTCCAGAGACTCCTCGAACCGTCGAGACGGCAACGGCACGCGATGTGTTATGGGTCAGCGATCGGCGAATCTCACTTCTCTCCCAGCGGTTCTCGAGAATTTCATAGACCGAGAATCTAACTCGGAAAATAGCGATCTGTCACCATCTTCGTGCGAAAATAGAGACGAATTAACTCCTCGACGTGAAGTCTCTCACATGCACGGATATGTGGGCGAAGTGTGTCCTTTCCCCGTCCAGGGCGACCGAGTGAAGCGAATGGACGGATTCCCTCTCTCTTTGTTCCCCCCCTTCTTTTTCCTGTCAGCACGAACGTTGTTCGTATGTATCTGATGAACACGTACAACTCCGTCTCAATCAACGAAGCTCTGGGTGTGCCACGTGCAGTGGGCCATGAAGTGAGAAAGGCTATGGGACCAGCAGTGGCCGTCACTTTTACATCTGGAGATGCTTTTTAATTAGCTTCCTTACTGTGGAGAGCTATCAACCCCTTTCACTGGCATCCCCGTGAAATTTTCGAGCTGACCTCTGACAAACTTATTACTCAAAACTCAACAGTGAAAGGGTTAATACGAGTCCGCCCATTATTTAAAAAAAAGTTGCCAACTCGCATAATTATATTAGACAATTGATTTTGGTCACGCAGATTCTCCCCGTAACGCGACTGCATTCAGGAGAGAGAGAGAGAGAGAGAGAGAGAGAGAAAAAAAAAAGAGAGACCATTTTGATTTGAAAATAAAAACTGCCTTCCTACAGAAATGTTTATCGTCGACATCAAGCAAAGTAGACGGTAATAAAGCCTGCGCACGCGTCTCAGGGACAAAATGAAAAGCGACAGCTGTTATTCCAATCTGTCATGGAAAAAAAAAACAGCAGAGCCACCGAAAGCAGCAAACACGACATGGATCAAAACCGACCGAGGTTCCTCGATTAGTCACGTCTCCACTGACAGACAGATGGACCAAAAAAAAAATACTTTCACCTCGACTCTGCCATGAGTTTTAGCTCCCCCCCCCCGTTCCTCATACAGCCGGGGGGAGATGAAGTTGATGGATGAGATGACTCCATTCCCCTGTCTGTGTAGACGACAGGATATTTCTTTTTTCCCTCCCTCCCGAAAATCGGCGAAAAACACGGGCGACGGGATTTATGGGAAGCGGAGAGGGACTCTGACAGATAAGACCAGGAATTT